CCGTCATTGTTGTTTGGCGGCCGGGCTGGATTCAAACCTCATACCTTAGGTGTATGTGGCTGGCGCCTTAGCCACTTGAGCCACAGGCGCCGAGCCAACAAAGTGAGATTCTGTTTCAAAAAAAAAAAAAATCATCTAAAGAGCTCAGAATCTACATTTCTGACAACCCAGGTGATGCCAGATTACAGAGTCATTTAGGAGTTACAGTCCATCCTCATTATTTACAGATTCCATGCTTGTGAACCTGCCTACTTTCATTCATTCATTTATGACAGAAGCTCATTTTGTTGCCCAGACTAGAGTTCTCTGGTGTCCTAGCTCACAGTAACCTTCAAACTCCTGGATTTAAGAGATCCTCTTGCCTCAGCCTCCTGTGTAGCTAGGATTACACGTGTCTGCCACAATGCCTGGATATTTTTTTCAATTTTTAGTAGAGACAGGGTTTTGTTCTTGCTCAGGCTGGTCTCTTAACTCCTGAGGTCAAGTGATCCTCCGCTTGTTCTCCCAGAGTGTTAGGATTACAGGTATAAGCCACTGTTTTTTTTTTTTTTTTTAATCACCCTTGGTAGAGTGCTGTGGCATCATAGCCCACAGCAACCTCCAACTCCTGGGCTTAGGTGATTCTCTTGCCTCAGCCTGCTACAATAGCTGGCTATTTTTTGTTGCAGTTTGGCCGAGGCTGGGTTCAAACCCACTACCCTTGGTATATGGGGCCAGTGCCCTACTCATGGAGCCATAGGTGTCTTCTATTTTTAGTTTTTTGAGAGTGATAATAGCTCACTGTAGCCTCAAACTCCTGGACTCAGTGATCCTCCTGCCTCAGCCTCCTGAGTAGCAGGGACTATAGGCGTGTGCCACTATGTCTGGCTAATTTTTCTTTTTCTTCCTTCCTTTCTTTTTTTTTTTTTTTTTTTTAAGTGATGTGGTCTCATTATGTTGCCCAAGCTGGTCTTAAACTCTTGACCTCAAAATGATCCTCTTGCCTTGGCCTCTCAAAGTGCTGGGATTATAGGTGTGAATCACTGGGCCCAGCTACTTAATTTATTTGTAACCACAAATCCACTACTTGTGGCACTTTCATGGTCATTTGCAGACATGCACAGAGCAGGGAAAAACTGAAGTGACTCAATGCACTTGTTCCTACCTGAGGTCAAACAAGGAAACACTTTGTCTTGTTTCACCTCTCATCCTATGATGAGAAGTGTGTTTTTTGCAGTCTGCTTAGTGCCATATTTTTTGGCAAGTTTGCTGTCTACAATGGCCCCCAAGAATAGTGCTGAAGTGCTGTTTAGTGTGGAGAAAATTCATTTTGGAGAAGCTCTGTTTAGGTATGAGTCACAGTGTCGTTGACTGTCAGTTTAATGTGAATGAATCCACAGGATATATTAAATAAGGTGCTTAGGGCTGGGCAAGGTGTTTCACCCTTCTAGCACTCTGGGAGGTTGAGGCAGGTAGATTGCTTAAGCTCAGGAGTTTGAGACCAGCCTGAGCAAGAGTGAGACCCTGTCTCTAAAAATGAAAAAACTGAGGCAAGAGGATCACTTGAGTTTGAGGTTGCTGTGAGCTAGGACACCACTGCATTCTACCAAAAACAACAAAGTGAGACTCTGTCCCCCAAAAATAAAATAAATAAAATAAATAAATAAATATGGTGTCTTACTAACTGGGTGTTGTGGTAGATGTCTATAGTTTGAGCTATTTGGGAGGCTGAGGCAAGGGGATCACCTAAGTCTAAGAGTTTAAAGTTGCTGTCTTCTAGGATTCTGCAGCACTCTACCCAGGACACAGAGTGCGATTCTATCCCTCCCCTCCAAAAAAAAGTATCTCTAAACAGAAACACACATTAAAAAAGTTTATGTTTAGGCTCAGCGCCTGTGGCTCAAGCGGCTAAGATGCCAGCCACATACACCTGAGCTGGTGGGTTTGAATCCAGCCTGGGCCCACCAAACAACAATGACGGCTGCAACCAAAAAAATAGCTGGGTGTTGTAGTAGGAGCCTGTAGTCCCAGCTACTTAGGAGGCAGAGGCAGGAGAATTGCTTGAGCCCAGGTGTTGGAGGTTGCTGTGAGCTGTGATACCACGGCACTCTACCCAGGGTGACAGCTTGAGGCTCTGTCTCAAAAAAAAAGTTTATGTATGAATAGGTTGACAAAAACATTGTGACTTCCCTGGGCTGGTGAGGTGGCTCACACCTGTAATCCCAGCACTCGGGAGGCTGAGGTGGGGGTGATTTCCTGAGCTCACGAATTTGAGACCAGCTTGAGCCAGAGCGAGACCCCATCTCTAAAAATAGCCGGGCGTTGTGGTGGGCACCTTGTAGTCCCAGCTACTTGGGAGGCTGAGGCAAGAGAACAGCTTAAGCCCATAAGTCTTGAGGTTTCTGTGACAAACAATTATGATTTCCAAGAACCTAACCCTGTATCTCCTTTAGGGACAAATGATTCAGTATACACTACTTTGGTATTCATGGCAACTTCATAGAACTTAATTCCGATGAATAAGGAGAACTAAGTATAAACCAGTGGCTCATGGAAATCACTCGACACAGAGGTGGCAAGGGAGGGAGGTGTCTTGAGGGATTCTGAGGTGAGACAGCTCCTGAGAGCAGAGCTGGAATTTGAACCTGAATTTTTGACTCTTGAATCATACCGTGTGCTTTTGGGCAGAAAAGAATATACTTAGGAATCAAGGGCTAAGGCCTAAGGCCTCAACTTTCTTACCTGAAAGACAAACATGTGTCTCCCTGCTGGGACAGGGCCGACCAGCACGGAATCTAGGATTTGATCAAACTCCTCACTCTCAGCTGAGCCAACATAAATGATCTTCCATTCCAGGTCTGCAAGAACATGGGGGGGGGGGATAGTTAAGGAATTGATAATAGCGTGATAGTAAAAAAGCAGGGAAACATGGCCAGGCACATGGAGGTTCATGTCTGTAATCCTAACACTCTGGGAGGCCAAGGTGGAAAGATATCCTCCCTTGAGCTTAGGGGTTCCAGACCAATCTGGGCAAGAACGAGACCCCCATTTCTACTTAAAATAGAAAAATTAGCCAAAGCCAGGCACAGTGGCTCATGCCTACAATCCTAGCACTCTGAGGCTGAGGCGGGTGGACTGCCTGAGCTCACAGGTTCAAGACTAGCATGAGCCAGAGCAAGACCTCATCTCTAAAAATAGCTGGGCATTGTGGTGGGCACCTATAGTCCCAGTTACTTGGGAGGCTGAGGCAAGAGAATCACTTAAACCCAAGAGTTTGAGCTGTGAGCTCTGATGCCATGGCACTCTGCCAAAGGTGACAAAGTGAGACTCTGTCTCAAAAAAAAAAAAAAAATTTACCAGGCATTGTGGTAGGCACCTTTAGTCCCAGCTACTCTGGAGGCTGAGGAAGGAGGATTACTTGAACCTAGAAATTCGAGGTTGCTGTGAGCTAGGCTGACTTCATGGCACTCTAGCCCAGGACAACAAAATGAAATTCTGTCCCCCCCCCAAAAAAAAGGCAGGGAAAGAGTCACATTAATTTTGGATAGATCCTTAATATATAAAAAAATCCATATTCCTCAGAATGCCCGATATTCATGTGGCACTAAGTGCTGAATTCTGAGGTGGGCATGAAGTCCTAGTTGCATTGGGGAAATTTTCCTGTGGGCCTAGCTTGACAGTTGACCTTGACTTTTTACCTCTGGGGAAACTTGGGCCTCTTGGAGCCTGAAAGTGAATGTATGGCAGAGGCTGAATTAAGAGCCACGTGACACAAGTGTGCTGGGGAGGGAATGACAGGGAGTTGGGCCATTTCGGGGCTCTGCCCACCAGGTGCTAAAATACAAAGTAGCATCCTCTTTCACACACAGGGACTAGTGCCACTGGAGGAAGCAGATCCCTGGACGACAACTTGTACAGGGTAGCAGATTCCAGTCTGGCAGGTGAGCCAGCCAGAAGGAGGGGTAAGGCAAGGCTGATGGGGTAGCCAGCAGTTTCCTGGTCTTCCAGATCCAGCACAAGCCATACCTACTTATGGACATTCGGGTAATAGGGACTCACTCAACAAATGTGGCATCAGAGGGTGATCTTCCAAGCCCTAACTCTCTTGTATCCCATCCAGTAGGGGGAGCCCCCAACCCCTGAGTATGTTCTGGAGAGATTAAAGGAAAAGTGTTTAGGGAAATCCTGCCAATCAACCACAGGAAATTCCCAGTGACCAAAGCCTCTTGCAGGAGATCCAAGTGTATCAGAGGCAAGGTCATGCTAGTACAGGGAGGCTTGGCAAGAGACCTGCAACTTATTTTAGGATCTTTAGAAATTACACAACCTTTTAGCTCCAGCAGCTGGGGGAAGTGTCACAAGCTATGATTTTCAAAGGAAACAACTTCTCTCAGAGCTGCCCTATTCCTTGGTCCAGTATCCCACAAGAGCATCCAACTTTGGAAGCACAACATGGAACCAAAGAGGCTTGCCACCTGAGCTGAACCCTTCCTCAATATACCTACTTCCTGTCTCTTTGTGGTTTCACCTAGGAACCCTAGTGGGTCTGTGGGACATGGGTGACCATTTGACTCACTGGAGTCCAGTCAAACTCTAGCCTCTCATTTGCAGAGAGGAAGTTAACTGTATTGATTTATTTTTGTTACAAGTAGTGGCCCAACTAGAATTTAATTGTTTTGAAGAACAGAAAGAGAACAAGCTTGCCCTGTTCTTTTCCAATGTAGCTCTATAATTTTCCCCTATAACAAATGAAGTTGCATATGGGTGCATTTCATTAATGTGCTAGGAAGAAGGGTAGACAAAAAGGAGACTGAAATAGACCAGGCCTCAGTGTACCTACAGTTTCTTGATATTGTCCAACTGAGGTTAATCCTTGTTGGCAAAACCTAAACAGTGTGTGGATGCTGACGGAAAGAGAAAACATATGGTGTGGGCTGCCAGGCAAATGGGCTAGCTGCAATGGCCAGAAAGAACCAGAGAATTAAATAAGGGCCAGAGAGAGATACTGACTCAAGAGTTAGAAGAGCTGATAAAACCATCTATGGAAGATAGAAAATGATCAAAATAAGGGCTGATAAATTAGAATTGTCTTAAAATTTGCTGAAGTGGCTCGGCGCCTATAGCTCAAC